GTTGATCGATTTTGGAGTATGTGATTCCGTATCTCATTTCTTTTTCTAATGGGGGGGGGGGGTGTACGGCTACAAGGGATGTTGGATGTTAGAGTATGGAATAGATAAAAAGAACGGGAAGAAATACTAATAACAACAGCAATGATAAAGCTGAAAGATATAAGAACAAAAACCTTAAAATACAAAAAAGGACAATATGCAATGCACAGCCATCTTTTGTAACAGAATAATAATATATAACATACAATATGTATATACATATAGATAGATAGATAGATAGATAGATAGATAGATAGATAGATAGATAGATAGATAGATAGATAGATAGATAGATAGATAGATAGATAGATAGATAGATAGATAGATAGACAGATAGATATAGATATACTGTGTGTGTGTGTGTGTGTTTGTTGTGCGTGTGTGTGTATGTGTGTGTTTGTGTTTGTGCGTGTTCATTTCACGTCAGGTAAAGAAAAAGTCGAGTAATGAAGCCGTAATGATAACTAACCACAGAGTAAGACTTATAGACTGAACTAATCAAGATCATGGCAGATAAATTACATGTTTCTCACTCTCTGCACACAAAGCTCTCTCTCTCTCTCTCTCTCTCTCTCTCTCTCTCTCTCTCTCTCTCTCTCTCTCTCTCTCTCTCTCTCTCTCTCTCTCTCTCTCTCTCTCTCTCTCTCTCTCTCTTCTCTCTCTCTCTCTCTCTCTCTCTCTCTCTCTCTCTCTCTCTCACACACACACACACACACACTCACAAAAAACACATATGTGTATGTATATGTAAAAATCATTGTTTTTGAGTATTGTAAAGATGGAATTATCTATTTTTCAACCTAGCATGTTTCTTTAATTTTTGTTTGTTTGTTTGTATGAAGATAATTAGTACCTTGATGGTTTAATTAATACCTGTAATTGTTTTCCTTTTTAATTCTTGAATTTCGCTTTCTATAAAAGGAACATCCATTTTCACTCGTCCATATACAATTTGACAAAATATTATTTCTGCCATAAAAGTATATCAACCAGTATTATGAATTATAATTGCAAAAGTAGAAGTAAAAGTAGATTCATGTGTTTTTTTTATTAGCGGAACAGAGTTATTTTGGTAGACAGTTTTAGCTCATTAGTGAAAATGAGCTACGGATGTAAGGGCGATGTTAAGTTCAAACCAAATTTTCTTTTGTTTGATTTAAATTATTTCTATAGATAATTTCATAAGTTAGTCTATAAATTTTAGTGCATATAGCTCTAAACCAGAGGAATTCACTTAGTCCCATAAAGATCATAGATGTTGTGTCTGAATGAGTGAGCAACCTTACTTGAGGTTCACTTGAGGGCTAAGCTGTGTACCAGGCTGGATTTCATTTTATATATGTATTGGAACTTATAACAAGAATTTACTTATCCGAGGTCGGGATCGAATCGGAGTGCACACATACACACTCATATATCTGCACACACACACACATATATAATATATATATATATATATATATATATATATATATATATATATATATATATGCATACATACATAGAAACATATATATATATATATATATATATATATATATATATATATATATATATATATATATATATTATATATAATTACATAATTAAATATACATATATATATATATATATATATATATATATATATATATAATATATATATATATATATATATATATATATATATATATGTATATATATATATATATATATATATATATATATATATATATATATATAGTTTCCCCCCATTATGTCAATTTTTTTTTTTTAATCAAATATCTTTGAAACGACGAATACATCTTCCTGATATTCATAAAATACAAAACCCATTTTTTTCTTTTCAGATTTAGAAGCCCATTTTTTCCTTTGAATTCAGGAATGCTCTCCTCTCACCCGCTGTCTACGTTCGGAAGGTCAGTCTTCATTTCGTTGTAAAGGCTGCAGGCTATTCGCGTGCTCCTAAATGGAAGACTGGTGTTGCACGACCAGATACTCTAATCATGTTCGGGGCAGACCTAATTCTTATCTTCGGGTCCCTATCTTGTTACTGAGACCGCTTTATAAGTCCAGATGGAGATGTATACGGACATACGAATGTACTGTAGTATATATGCCTGTATATGTATATGCACACACACACACACACACACACACACACACACACACACACACACACACACACACACACACAACACTCAGAAACATATACACATATATGTATGAATGTATGTATGTGTCGGAGTGTGTATACATAAATATACACACACACGTATTTGTATACATTTCTATCTATATCTACCTATCTATGTACACATCGTCCTACATGCAACATATGTATATAGATATTGTTTACACACACATACACACGGACTCATATATAGGTATATATATATGAAACACACACATATACTATATCTACATGTATATGCTTTATATTTGCACATATTTCTTGCGTATGCATGTATATGCTGTATATTCGGGTGTTTGTGTTACATTCATTCCTTAGTATCTATTATTTCCCATTCTCCCCCCAACGAGCACATATCTATTTAGTCAATTTCCCTTTTAAGCGCTAACTCTCACTCCAATTTTAATGAAAGAGGCTGTATTACGAAGCAACGTCTGTTCATTGCACTATCCATTAGGCAGAATAGCAGCGCGTCCACGATGGATACGCACCGTATATGAAGGAATGCCGGCAATTTAAGCATTTAATGTGTTCTTGAGTCTCTCGAGATCGTACAGTAGGCAGAACCGCATCGTTGCCAAACACCGCCATCTCGATTCCCGCCGACGGACCTGTCAACATTACTCTCTCACTCTCTTCTCGCATTAAAAACCCGCGTTGGCAATTGTGATAAATCGTTTTATATGATGTTTGTCAGGTCATTATGCATATGAAAGTATGTAGAGCCAAATAAGTAAAAGTGGGACGTATAGCTATAATAATTGCTATACACTCAACAAAAGTGTTTGAAGCCATGATCATGCTGTCTAAGAGTTAGCAGGTAAGCATAGAACAATTATAAACGCATGACAGTCTGTCTGCATTCTAACACGTAACGGATAAAAAATAAAGTACTGGGTCAGACGGTCTACCTGATGACGGGGAAAA